AACGATAAACAACGTCAGAGTCTCTAATACTTGTAGAGCTTCAATATTTTTCAAAGATTTTATTAAATTATTATTATTATTTTTATTATTATTATTTTTATTAATTTTTTTTATTAACAGATAAAATATTTTTTTTAATTTAAATTCATATTGTGGAACATTTAAATTTTATCATTTTTACAATTACCTTCTTGCTACGTAACGACATAATTCCTTACATACCAATAATTAGACAATTTTCATTATTTCTAAAAATTTTAAACTTTACATTAATAAAAAAAGAAGAATATTTTTTATTGCATATGAACATCATTACACAGATTTCATATCAGTTTCTAAAATTCCTTAATCACGCCATATTCTGTGTAGGCATGCTAGAATTCTACGCATTAATAAATAAAAAAATCTAATTTCTCAGAATGAAAGAAAATAATATAATAAAATAAATACTACAAACTTGGAACACTAAGCAATGCTTCAAAAAACGCACACACACACATATTATCAATGAACTCATATTATCAAGTGCAATTACGATACCAAACACTACGTATTAAAATATGAGGTAAACGTTACGTCAAGAGTTAAAGTTAACAATTTTGCTACTGTTGAGTAGATCGTCGGGCTATCGATATATGTCGTATTGTCGGAAAGCGTTATAAACATATCAAAGCCAAAAAATTAAAAATACAATTTAAATGAAAAATGACGTCTTAAATATAATTCACAATTAAAACAACAATACAAATTTAAAATACACTAACAATATGTTAAACATCGCACATAAATAAAGTTACATTACTGCTCGGCATCACACACAACCTCGTTTTCTCTTCTACACAACGATCAGTATTCGCCCGAAAACATCAAAGAATTCCACAAACTCGGTGTCCATGTGCTCATCCATCAATTTTCACTTAAAGAAAATCAGAGAATTGCTCAAACTCGGCATTGCGCACCATATTGACTTTGACCATGTGCACATCGATCTATTTTCACTTAAAAAAACCTCCCAGAGTTGCACAAACTCGGCATCGCGCACAACCTCGGCATTGCGCACCACATTGGCTTTGCCCATGTACAAATCGATCTATTTTCACTTAAAAAATCTCAGAATTGCACAACCTCGGCATTACGCACCACATCGGCTTTGCCCATGTACACATCGATCTATTTTCACTTAAAAAAATATCCCAGAATTGTACAAACTCGGCATCGCGCACAGCATTGGCTTTGCCTATGTGCACATCGATCATTTTTAACTTAAAAAACATCCCAGAATTGCACAAACTAGGCATCGCACATAACCTGGGCATTGCGCACCACATTGGCTTGCCCATGTGCACATCGATTTATTTTCACTTAAAAAAACATCCTACAATTGCACAAACTCGGCATGGCGCACAACCCCGGCATTGCGCACCACATTGGCTTTGCCTATGTACACATCGATCTATTTCACAAAAAATCCCAGAATTGCACAAACTCGGCTTCGCGCACAGCTTGGCTTTGCCCATGTGCACATCGATCAATTTTCACTTAAAAAAAATCCCAGAATTGCACAAACTCGGCATCGGGCACAACCTCGGCATTGCGCAACACATTGGCTTTACGCATGTGCACATCGATCTATTTTCACTTAATAAAAATCCCAGAATTACACAAACTCGGCATCACGAACAACTTCGGCATTGCGCACCACATTGGCTTTGCCCATGTGCACATCGATCTATTTTCACTTAAAAAAACATCCCAGAATTGCACAAACTCGGCATCGCGCACAACCTCGGCATTGCGCACCACATTGGCTTTGCCCATGTACACATCGATCTATTTTCACTTAAAAAAAAATCTCAGAATTCCACAAACTCGGCATCGCGCACAGCATTGGCTTTGCCCATGTGCACATCGATCAATTTTCACTTAAAAACATCTCAGAGTTGTACAAACTCGGCACTGCGCACCACTCAAAATCGTCTATACGTCTCAAAACCGTCTCTCTACTAGTTTCATATTTGTTCCACAAATTGGGCACTTATACGATATTGCAATCAAACTTTTCTCCATACACCGCTCAATAACGCTCTTTTTGCCTGTTCGTTCCAACTGATTAAAAAAATCCAGATTTAGATACTCATCCATTCTGCAGTAAGCACCGATTTTAACACACTCATCAATAATCAAAACATTCTTTAAGCAAAAGAATTCTTTTCTGTATTTTCAGAAGTTACGGTTATAATTTTTAATTCATGCATTCAATATTTTCAGTCGTTTGCTAATGATCGTTTTCAATCGTTTCTTATCTTAATAATACCTTTGTGAGAGATAATTCGTTGCGTTAAATACTAACACTACCACACAACACACAAAAGTAGATTTATAATTAAAAAAATCTCGCGCGGAACATTATAAACCTACCATTTCAACTCAGTTAAAATATAATTTAAGTTTTCTTTAAATACGAAGCTATAGCATACTTATAACTTGTTTTTAAGAACAGGCGAGTTTGTGCAATTCTGGGATTTTTGTGAAATAGATCGATGTGTACATAGGCAAAGCCAATGTGGTGCGCAATGCCGAGGTTGTGCGCTATGCCGAGTTTGTGCAATTGTAGGATGTTTTTTTAAGTGATAATAAATCGATGTGCACATGGGCAAGCCAATGTGGTGCGCAATGCCCAGGTTATGTGCGATGCCTAGTTTGTGCAATTCTGGGATGTTTTTTTAAGTGAAAAATGATCGATGTGCACATGGGCAAAGCCAATGCTGTGCGCGATGCCGAGTTTGTACAATTCTGGGATGTTTTTTTAAGTGAAAATAGATCGATGTGTACATGTTTTTAAGAAAGGCGTGTCCAAGCATAAGAGAAGTAAACACAGCATCGACTGATGCAGCCTATTCTGCGATTTAGCCATTATTTTTTCCACATTGGCAGTTAAGTACTATTTTTCCTAAAGTATCCATTTTATTCCCAGAGAATGTAACTAATCTTTTAATTTCAGACTTCTGTATCAGAATATTTAGCAATTTCACTTTGCTTTTAGAAATAACATTGCACATTGCTTCAGTATCCAACTTCAAATTTTACTTTTATTTACATTAACGTCAACAGTGCATTTCTCTTCCTTGTTATTTGAATTAAGGTTTAATGTGCCGACATAAAATTCTAATTCTTCCTCACAGTTATGATTTATTAATTTAATTTTTCTATCTTTTTTGTTTACCCTGACTGCTTCATTTTTTATTATATAGCTTTTACACCGATTCGCGTAGACACAGATGACACAGAAAAGTATTAAAAATCTGAAATTCTAGTCCTCCCCCCCATTCTGATGAACGTGGAGAATGCATTCATCAGCAGATTGCAATAATGGAAGAAAGATTCAAAGGGAAGTTGTATCCAGTGACACTGACTAATTTCTGTAGAAGCATTGGAAATGATGAGGCACAAGTTAGTTGCAAATGACGAGCTAAAAAGTGCAGATATTTTCAGTCTTTACATATGCATTGTTTTTTTATCCAAGCATGTATTAAAGTTTCGTTATTGTATATTGCATACAAGAAAATTGTTTTAGTAGGAAAAATATTGACTTTTAAATTTTACCATAGGTTCTAAACAAAAGCCAATCATTTCTTAATTTCAGTTATGCCAAATTGTCAAATTATGAGCAAAATATTGCTTATGAGGGTTCAAAAATAACGGGAATTTTGCTGTATTTTCTAATCAACACCCTTTTAGGAAAGAAAATGTATACGGTACAAAGTCCTTAATCCGGATTCGTCGGGACTTCGGCGATTCCGGATTAGGGGTTTTTCCGGATTATAGATCATCAATTTAAATCTGGTAAGATGGCATGCAGAAATTATAAAATTAAAAATATGAAACATAATTTATGAAATAAAGAGCAATTATGATCTAAAGGGTATTAAATTTACAAAAAAAAAAAGCTTAATATTTATTTTTTACTTTATTAAACATTTCTTTTAATGTAAGTTGTTTAAGTTGCTTCGTTTTTTTTTGTGCTAATACTTTCTCTTTAATTCTATAAACAGACATAATTTCTTCTTCAGTTTCACTGTTCAAGTCCTGTAATTGCTGTGTCAAGAATACTGACTAACTTGTCAATCGAAATTTTTTCGTTTTCAATAACCTCTCTGTCACTTTCTTCACTATCGGAAGCGGTACATCGAAACATGCTTTCGCTTTGTAGATCCTTTGGCAGCTCCAGAATCGGAAACTCTTTTTGACATAATCGAAAGTACAAACTTACTTTTTATAAAATTGCTCTAACAGTCTGCAAAAAATAATAAGCCGGATCCAATTAAAAGATTAAGGAACAACGCAATCTGCAACATTAACTGAAATAGATAATTAGATAATTTTAGCCTAGCTTATACCGTCCGTTATACACTAAAACTCATGCGTTTATGCTTGCGCAGAAAGTTTGTAGCTTTGAGGTCCGGATTATATATCAATCCGGATTATGGACGTCCGGATTAAAGACTTTGTACTGTATTCAGAAGATGAAATTTAGTAAGAAAAAGCTTGTTTCATCTTTGTCACAAAAAATTAAAATTTGTTGAACAGTGTGATAATACATTATTTTCTTTAAGGGCGATTTCTGTATACTTTTTCATTTCGATTTTAAATTTTCAAATTTATTCTGTAAATGATCTGACTGAGTTCAAGACTGGCTTTATTTTTTGCCTGAGTAAATGATGGGAAGGGAATTGTAATTTATTCAATATTATATTTTTCTCATCATTCAAGATAATTAAGCTATCCATAAATATTTTGCACTACCATTTCATCAATAAGGTAATTAGGATATTAATTTGAAGTGAAAAGTTCCTGTGTCAGTTGTTTGCTGCCTTGAATAAAGAACCTAAATTATATATATGTATATATATATTTTCAGTTGATGAATAGTTAATGAGCTGTATTGCTGTAAAGAAATTTTCTTCTTCAGAATAATAAATTTTGGAACTTATAAATTTTAGGTAAAAAAAGGTCTTTTGGATCGTCTCAAGGAGGGCGTTGTTATAGGTGATGGTGGATTTGTGTTTTCATTAGAAAAACGAGGTTATGTCAAAGCAGGACCTTGGACTCCAGAGGCAGCTGTTGAACACCCAGATGCTGGTAAATATTAAATGTGTATTAATTTACATTTTCACTGAGGAAATAATTTACCATTTATTCTTTTATAACTAAATTCATTTCATAGAATCATTATTGCAAATTTTGAAGTAATTCATTCAAGAGGGTAAAATGATATGATTGCTGCGAGATTAAAAAAATTTTCTAGAATAAGATTTTCATTGAGCAAAAAATGTAAATGTAATTTTTAAATTAATAGTGTACAATTAATTATTTGTTAACATTAGGAGGAATTATGCCAGTTGGTTAATCCTATTTCAGTAACTTTATAACAGCAACAAACAAACAAAATCTGCAAAGGTTCAGATTTTAATGTTTCCCAAAAGATTCACTTTCCCCATGATGTCAGCCTCTTTGGTTAACTCTCTGACTGCTCCGTTTTCTAGTCAAATTGCTTAAAAAATTACATACTTTTTATACATGAAGAGGCGGGGGGAAACCAATTCACAAAGTTTACGCAACTATATGAAATTTAGTGGACGACCTGCCTCATCTATTGACCAAAACTGATTTAAACTCTAAATACTGCACAAAATGCATTACTGAGGCTTAAACATTGAAACAACAGGATATGCTTTTAAATAGGGGAAACAAACTCATGCATGCATATATCACTGAATAAGAAAATTTTGCTACAGTTATGTTGTTTATGGAAATCTTGGGATAAACAGTGAGAGGTTGACATTGTGGCATCTTTTTATTTCAATCAAAAATGATTTGAGGAGCAGTTGAAGTTTGAAACTGATAACACTTTCAGACTAATAATTTTGAAATCGGCAGAAACAGCTATAGAAAGTAGTCCTTGACTTTAAAGGCAAATGTTAGTTAATTTAGATAATTTTACATCATGAGAATAAAGTTCAACGTACCTTTTTTCCCTAAATGATAATTATCTATTGAATAAATAGGTACTTTAATATTTGAGTGCATTTTATAAAATAAATATATACTTTGATGTGTGTGCATTTTATCAGATAAATATATACTTTGATGTGTGTGCATTTTATCATCTGTTGCTTCTGGATAGTTATGCAAATTGAAATACAGCTAATCTTTTGGGTTATAGTTATTACAGTTCTAGTTTTTTTTTTTCTTTTAAGATTTATGAAACCAGTTTACACTGATTTAAAATTTTTCATATCACTTTACATCTCCAATGTATGGATCATCTCTCATTATACAGACCTGGTAAAATTGCCAGTGTGTCTGTTGTGTGACCAAGTTAACATAATTGTTGGTAACTTTTAGGTTTCCTAGGATCGTAATGATAATGCATACTTTTGAGATTTTATTAAGTTACCCAGCAGAGACTAATGGCCCAAAAGTCGAGGTCTAGTGAAAGATTAAAAAAAAAACTGGACCTTTCTTTCAGCATATGTATCTGGAAAATACATTTCTATGATTCAGCATATGGAGGAAAGTAACCATGCCAAATGAAAGGTTAAATTCAGTTGAAATAGCAGCCTGCCATCTAATGTTAGATCATAGACAGATCTTCCGTACAGTGTAGTGTTTGTTTATTGCTTGAAGGGGAAAATGCAACAGCTTAATTAATTTCTAATAGTTTGTCTGTATGTATTTGGCTAATTGAAAAGTAATAAAATTTTGAAAGCATTTATAAAAGAAACGTGATTTGGTCACAAAAAAGTCCACAAGACTCATTTCAGACTGTGAGTATTGCAGGAAGTGTTCTAAAGATTAAACAAATGATAATCTGTCACAGCAGTGTCTGATGAATAAGGTTGTAGGATGAAACTTTGTGTCCTATTTCTTTGATCATCTACTAGGTTATTCATATTGCATGTGGTTTTGTTTGGTTATGCAATAAGATGTGCCTTTTCTATTAATCAGTCTGGGATGCTGATTAAATTATCGTATAACATACTATCACATCTCTTGATGGTCAGCATTCCCTTTTATCACAATAAAAAATGGCAAGTGTGGTGTATTTTATATATGTTGGGTATGTGCTCAGTGATGATTACAAGATGTACACAAACATCGTTTATTCTACATTGCTTATCTACTGTTATATATTACAGTTATGATTAAAGATAATAATAGATACAGTTACAGTTACATATATAACATCTCCCTTTTTTATAAAAAAATAATAATAGTAATAAAATTAAACATATTCTTTTAAATAATAAGGTTTCTTAACAGTCCTACCAGATTGAGTAACGTAGTTATGTCCATTTGAAAAATTTGATGATACTATACCTCTTTCACTATTTGGTGACACAACAATTCTGTTAGGTTTTGAAGGACTTACAGGCACATCTAAATTTGTAGTGCTCCTACTATTTTCATGTATCTCGGGTTCATCTATAACTTCATTCTCATAGTTGTTTTGTATTGCAAACTCTTCCTGATTAGTTCCTTTAAGAAGGTCTCTTCTGTTCCGTTCTACAATTCTTCCATCTGTTCTCATAATCCTATATGAACGTGATCTTTCTGTTTCTTCTATAATTTTTCCTCTTTTATTTAGTTTTTTCCCTTTCTCTTTTATGTAAACATGATCTCCTATTTTCATTGGTTTTAATGGTCTTGCATTTCTATCATAATAGCTTTTTTGTAAGGTTTGTCTTTTCAGTAAATGTTGTTTATGGTCTTCATATCGTTTAGCTTGGACGAAATTCTCTTATCTAGGCATCAATCCATTTACTTTTCTTCCAAACATCAATTCTGAAGGTGACTTAATTTCATCTGAAATAGGAGAGTTACGATATTCCAGTAATACTAAATATGGATCCTTGTTGTCAACTACAGCTTTTTCTAACATTCGCTTGACAGTTTGAATCTGTCTTTCAACCATTCCATTAGACTGTGGGTAATTTGGACTTGAAGTTCTGGTTTCAAAATTTCATCTTCTTGAAAAATCTTTAAATTTTCTGCAATTATATTGTGGACCATTATCCAAATATACTATTTTCGGAATACCATGTCTTGCAAAAATTGATTTCAATTGCTTTATCACTGCTACACTTGACATATCTTCCAAATGTCCAATTTCAACATATTTGCTAAAATAATCTATTACTATTAGATAATCCCTTCCTTAAAAGTAAAAGAGATGTATTCCTACTACTTCCCATGGACCATTAGGTATTTTAGATATCATTGGTTCTTTTTGTAAACTTAAACTGTTTGACAATTCAGTACCAAATCTTCAATTTCTTTTGACATTCCTGGCCAACATAATATTTCTCTTGCTTTGATCTTGCATTTTACTACTACTAAGTAACCATAATGAATTCTGCTTAACATATCTTTTCGTAAACTTCTTGGTACAACAACACAGGAACTTTTAAACATTAATCCATTTGCTTCTGATAGTTCTTCTCTGAAGTTAAAATATGGTTTTGCCAGTTCTGGAACCATACAGTTTTCATCTGGCCATCCAGTTTTAATTAATTTTCTTAAAACTTGTAGTTCTTCAACTTTTTCTGTTTCCAGTTGAAAAACTTCCATTTTACCATTAGAAATTGGTATACATTCTACAACTAATCCAACATGAGCTTCTATGTCTCCCTCAAAGAAATCAGATCCTTTATCAGTGAATGGTCTTGATAATGCATCCGCTATAAAAAGTTCTTTTCCTGGTTTATATTTTATCTCAAACTGATATGGCTGTAATCTTATACGCATTCTTTGTAGTCTTACAGGGTATTTATTTAATGGCTTTTTGAAAATTGATTCCAGTGGTTTATGGTCACTTTCCACAGTAATATCTTTTCCAAATATATACTGGTGAAATTTCTCACACGCAAATACAAATAGCTAAAGTTTCCTTTTCAATTTGAGCATAATTCTTCTGTGTATCTGTTAATGCTTTAGATGCATATGTTACTGGTAAATTATTCTGAAGTAAGACTGCTCCTAGTCCTTCTTGAGATGCATCTACAGGTAAAACTACTGGCATCTTTATATCATAATACTGTAAAACTGGTTTATTTACTAAGACATCTTTTAGTCTTCTAAATGCTTTTTCATGTGTTGCATTCCAGTTCCAGATAACTTGTTTTTTCAACAAATCTTTTAAACATGATGTCAATTCTGATACATTAGGTATAAATCTAGAAACATATGTAATCATTCCTGGGAAAGTTTCTAATTCTTTCACATTTTTTGGTGGTTTTATATCTAGAATAGCCTTAATTTTGTCTTCATCTGGTTTTAAACATCTTTAGAAAATATGTCCCATATATTTCCTGGTTTTAAACCATCTTTAGAAAATATATGTCCCATATATTTCACTTCATACAGCCCAAATTTACATTTATTTAAATTAAATTTAACATTATTTTCTCTGGCTCTGTCCAACAACTTCTTTAATCTTAAATCATGTTCTTTTTTATCTTTACCCCAAACTAATAAGTCATCTATATATATTTGAACTCCTTCTAAATCACTAAAAATTCAGAAAAACTTCTGTGGAAAACTTCTGGTGATGAAACTCAGTCCATATGGCAACCTCAAAAAACAATATCTACCAAACGGAGTGTTAAATGTTGTAAATTCACAACTTGAATCTGACAGTTTAATTTGCCAAAATGCTTTGTTTGCATCTAAAATACTAAAGACCTTTGCATTTGTCATTTGAGATGAAATTTCTTCAAAGGTTGGTATGTGATAATGTTCTCTCAGTATATTTTGGTTAAGGTGCTGAGGATCTAAACACACTCTTAAATTTCCATCTTTTTTCCTTACTACCACTAATGAATTCACGAATTTTGTTGGTTGGTTAACTTTCTTTATAATACCATCTTTTTCCATTCTTGCTAATTCCTTTTTTAATGGATTTAATAAGCTAAGTGGAATTTTCCTACAGGGTTCTATTTTACCAACAGCTCCTGGTTTTAATTTAATATGATATGTATATCCAGTTAAATTCCCAGTTCCTTTAAACAAATCTTGGTATCCTTTTAAAGATTCTGGTAACTTTTCATTGAAATCAGGATTTACTGTAAAAATCCTTTGTATTAGGTTTAATTATTGCAATGTAGGTAAACCTAAAATAGCTGGAACAGTTTTATCACATGCTACGACTTGAAATTCTACTTCATCCTTGTCCCCTCTCAATGTTTCACATAATAATTTACATTTTCCGACTACATCAATTGCAGTACCATTGTAATTATTCAAAGTGACTTTTGATTTAGTCAAACATTTATCTCTTAAATTTAATTGTTTAAATTTAGGCAATGGTAGCACATTACACTGAGCTCCAGTATCCAACTTAACAAATAAATATTTAGATATGTTTACTTTTAGTTTTTCAACCATTCTGTTTTATTTTTAGAAAATGGATTTATATCTTCTACTGACCCTAAAATATATTCATTACCATTATTATAACTCATGATCTAAATTATTCTGTACAACATTAACATTTTTATAAGTGCACATTTTAGAAAAGTGATTTTTCTTTTTACAGTACAAGCAAATCTTATTATAAGCAGGACAATTGTATAATTTATGAAAAGTTCCACATTTTCTACATGGTTTTGGATTATTGTACTTATTTCCTTGATAGTTTGAAGAAGATTTAGTACTTTGTTGCTTTTGTTTTACATGATAGTCTTTCTTACAAGGCTGACTTTTTTCCTCTGAAGGTCGAAATTTATTACGTTTGATAGCTTCTATTTTATTTTTTTTAGTTAAAGTTTTCAGCTGAAGTTCTGCTAATTTAGAAGCTTTACACATTTTAATACATTTCTCTAATGTTTACTGATCTTCCCTTAATAATCTATCTTTGAGATTTTTATTTAGAATTCCACTTACTATTCTATCCGTTATTAAACTATCTTTTAATTCTCCAAATCCACAGTTGCTACTTAATTTCTTTAAATCGGTTAAGAAATCATCAAACGATTCACCTACATGTTATGTTCCACAGAAAAATATATGTCTATCAACACTTTCATTTCCTTTCGGTATGCAAAAATTTTGGAAAGGTTCAATTACTTTGTCAACATCCTTCTTATCTTCTTCACTTAAGTTAAAAGTATTAAAATTTTCAAGTGCTTCTTCACCAACAAAGTGCAATAAAATAGCTTCTTTAATTTCAGGTGATTTAGTAATACCACCAGACACTAACATATAAATTTGGAATTTGGTTTCCATTTCTTCCAATTTTCGCTTAAATTACCTTCGAAATTTAGATTACTTGGTGGCTTTATTCCATCCATATTTAATTTAGGACTTTAAATAGTTTACATATAGGTATTTTTAGCCACTTCCAATAAAAATAAACAACGCACTTACCAGGATATAAGTTTGGATTTCACAGTAAACAACTTTCCATCATGTTTTTGTTTAGAATATCTTTACCCAGGCTGCATGGCTCTTCAGGGCTGGCCATGTGTTGTATTTTATATATGTTGGGTATGTCCTTAGTGCTGATTACAAGATGTACACAAACATCGTTTATTCTACATTGCTTATCTACTATTCTATATTACAGTTATGATTAAAGATAATAATAGATACAGTTACATATATAATAGCAAGTAGTTTTATTATATCTCTTAATTAAAGCAATTCTCTTTCATATATGTTGATAGCTGTCATTTTGTTTTTGTGATCATATGTCATCACTGAATATGTGTGGTGTATTATATACAAAATTTATATGAAAACTAATTTTAATTTCCAGATTTCTGTGTTCTTTTATTTACACTGTATTTTAAATAACTACTGTTATTACAGGTAATACTTGATTTTCACGGCCCCTGCAATAAAATGCCAAATTATGTAAAAAAAGTACTTTCACTTTTGACTTCTATTTGCTGAATTTCTCGAATCATGTAATATCATAATAGTGTTTTTTCATTATAAATATGGTAATGAAATACAATTTTTAATTTACCAAGCAGTGAGGAAGATGCCTTATTTTTTTCCCAGGAAAAAGGTATATCACCTAGTAACTGAATTTGCATAAATGGCCACAAAAGGAAACTACATATAAAGGGAATTATGTGGAGGTACAATGTATAAAGAGCATTTGATCTGACAAGTAATTTAGTGTTTTCAGAATACCATTTCTAACAGCACTGCATTTCATCTATTAGGCAGAGGAACTAACATCACATATGGTGTGATAAACAGCTCAACATCTGTTGAAATATCACAGCTGACTGGAACAGTTTTATGAGAGAGGCCTTGTTCTTTAGATTTACTTTAATAACTTAGTTAATTATCTTCGTAGTAAAACTTGTGTGCAAGCATGCTATTTCAGTAACATATAGGTAGGGTAGATAGAAAAAATAGTCAAAGTTTAATAAGGGATAGAAAGTTTAATAAGGGAGTCAAAGTTTAATAAGGGATAGAATAGTAGATAGAAAAAAAAGTACTAGAAAAATAGTCAAAATTAACAAGAGTTTGTTCATGTGGCAGCATACTTCCACAATAGTAGATATTCAGTGGATTATGCCATGAAAGTGGCGAATGCTTTCTTGTTCAGATTCTGCACCGTGAAGCAAGCACACTTATATGAGTGATTGTAGACCATGTAGTGGAAGCATTGACAATATATTCAAATTGTTGGTGAGCCTATAAAAACACATGAGCTTGAAAAGGCCAGTTAGAGCCATTTAATTGTGAACCACACATTTAATTTTGCTGATCCAACAGTGGGTACTCCAAAAATGTGGAGAAATTATGGGGCTCTATTAAATAGTGAAACAAAATATATAGGGGTACAGCTCAACATTGTATAGAGTCGTGTCATTCTGCATTCATATGGTAGAAATCCTTTGGAAAGATAAGTATTTTGATCTATTTTAAAAGTAATAGCAGAGATGTGGCAGCCACAAATTATGCACAAGTAGTTTAAACTTAGAGATAATCTTGGCGCCGTTTTAATAACGGGCCCTGTGAAAATCAAGTACTAGTACTTTATTATTATAATATAACTGAGCTATTAGTTCTTTATATATTGTTTTGCAAGGAGTGGTATCTAATTTATATTTCACTTTTATAACCTGCTAGAGAGTAGAGGCTGAAAAAAAGTTTTAGTTCTAAATTTAAATTATTTTTTTCATCAGTACTGCATTTAGAATTAAAAGCTATAACTCTGCAGAAATCCAGAATCTGGCCATTAAGATTTTTAAATGATTAGTTTTCACTTACTGCCTGTAAATATTTCTTGGGCTTTATTGCTAAAAGTATTTCAGTTTGATGAGGTTATTAAATCAGTTAATAATATTAATTCATTTGATATTATGGTAATCAATAGCAAATACAGAGTAGATCTATTGTTGTGATATACATGACCTTGTAGGTAACCTGTTGCAAAAAATTTTGATTTATATAACCATTTAAATATATCTTTGCATTGCTTTCTTTTCTAGATCTGCTTGTGTATCAGTGTAATGTATTTTGAATGCGCCCATTTTGTTTCATTTAACAGATGATTAATTGTATGAGTAATTTCATTATTTTAAAAATTTCCAAAGTTAGTTATGTTCTGTAAATAAAGCTTTTTTTCCCCACTTGCTGTGTTTCAATTGTAGTGTAGCAAGTGCATCTCAAAAAGCTCATTTAAATTTTATTATAACTATTTCACACTGCATCATTCATTTCATTAAATTATTATGTAAAAGTCAATTAAATTTAAAGCTTTAAAAAAAACTCTCTATTAATTTTCAAGTTGGAAAGAGAGGGGGAAAAAAAAAAAAAAAAAAAAAAAAAAAAAAAAAAAAAACCTTTGAAAATCTTAAATTTTAAATTTTTTCCTCTAGTTAAAAGTTTGCATAGAGAATTCTTGCGTGCTGGGTCTGATGTTATGCAAGCATTTACTTTTTACGCAAGTGATGACAAACTTATCAACAGAGGTAATCAAGCTGGAAAATTATTTAGTGTAAGTAAAAAATTTATATTTTCATTACTAAAATATGTTGGTCATTGTTAAAAATTCCAGTCTGATTTTGTTTCCTAAATTACTAACACTTGGATACACTGGTTGATAATCTGAAAAATTTCCTTGTTTGAAATATGCCTTGTGACATATAAAAAGCAAAGAAATCTTTTCAGGACTTATTTAAAGGTTTAAAAATAAATTATTTTGCAGGGTAATGATATAAATGAAGCTGCTTGCAAAATTGCCAGAGAAGTAGCAGATGAAGGTGATGCTTTAGTTGCTGGTGGAATTTCACAGACTCCTTCATATCTGAGTGGTAAGGGGAAGGAAAGCGTTCAAGCAGAATTCAGGAAACAAGTGCAAGTCTTTACTAAGAACAAAGTTGATTTCTTAATTTGTGAGGTAAGTGATTCATGCATTGATACTAAATTTTTTAGATGAATTGATTGGCTACTGACTCTCTTTATGTATCTGCTAATGCACAATTATAAACTTTAGCTTTTTCAGTTTGAAACTGTTGCTGGGAACAGCTTTAGGAATTTAATTTTTTTACTGACAAATTTTACAAGTAATGTCTTCAGCTACAGACAGCTGCAGAAAACTAGATAGGATTTATTTAATTTAGGCAAAGCACATAAAAGCTATTTGCTGAACAAACCCTAAAGCTCTGTTTCTCTTAGTACATTGCGAACGCGTAGCATCATTGGGAGAAATGCAGATGGATCAACATTTACACTACTGCATTGCATTTGCGCTTGTGGACATTCGATTGTCAATTGCATTTATTGCCACCAGATGTCTTTATATTTCATTTAATGGGATTCAGACTCTCAAGATAATTAAATTCGATTTTAAGAGAAATTTTTATTTCTGCTCATGAACTTAATTTTTATTTATGCTTGGGAAAGTAAAGCAGATTAGCAATTTTTAGATGAGTAAGCTTATACAGTCAAAAGTCTTTAATCCGGACTCGGACTTCGGCGATTCCGGATTATCGATTTTTCCGAATTATAGATCATCAGTTTAAATCTGGTAAGATGGCATGCAGAAATTATAAAATTAAAAATATGAAACTGTAATTTATAAAATAATGAGCAATTATGATCTAAAGGGTATCAAAATTTACAAAAAAAAGAAGCTTAATATTTATTTATTTACTTTATTAAACATTTCTTTCAACACGTGCATGCGTACCTTACGCATAGCCGAAATTAGAAAATTGCAACCAGAAAACTATTTGATTTGTATTCGTGATATTTATAATGACGAGGAATTTGATTTAAATCATATCAAAGACAGAGTACATCGAGATTAAATACTACATTTAGTAAGGAATTATAAGCCGAATAAAATAAAAACATCTGCCCTGAAGATAACGATAGTGCTGACAGATAAACTTCCAGTTCATTGCGCACCGCGACGTATACCCCCACCCTCCGCGCAGAGCAGCGGGAAATCGATAAACAGATTTCGGAATGGTTAGATAAACAAAGGATATAGCTTTATCCATTTTTTGTAGCAATTCGTTTTTTGTTTGATTGACATCGAAACATACTTTCGTTTTCTAGATCCTTTGGGAGCTCCAGCATCGGAAATTCTATTTGACATAATCGAAAGTTCAAGCTTGCTTTTATAAAATTGGTCTTACAGTCTGCAAAAAATAATAAGCCCGATCCAATTCGAAGATTAAGGAACAACACAATCATCAACATTAACTGAAATAGATAATTTTAGCTTATACCGTCCGTTATACATTAAACGTTCACGCAAAAGACGCATATGCGCAGTCGTAAATGTCTTGCGCACACGCATAAAATGCCTATGAGCATGCGTCAACGCGGTGCATGCACAGAAAGATTTTAGCTTTGAGGTCCGGATTATAGATCATTCCGGATTATGGGTGTCCGAATTAACGACTTTTGACTGTAATGCACATTATGAACATCTCTAATTGCATAGAAACTGAAGTTATTTTTAAAAATTTCTTTGCGTTTCTAGAAGCTTTAATATTAATGAAATAATAAGTAATTAAAACTAAATTGTACTGCTAGTGCAAAAGAAATAAAAAAGTTAAACACATTTTAAAAATAGCTGGTATTTTAAAGCTACAGAGCAACTGTAAAGAAAAGTTCACAATATTTAGACAAAATTTGCTATGCTTGTATAGAACTGAATTTCATGTCAGATTGTATATTTTTAAAATATGCACAAATTTTGAGAGAAAGCAGATGATATATAAAAATTTGAGCATCAATTTCTTCACTATCATGGCTGGATAATTTATTAGAAATTGTGTTTGTTTTAAAATGCACTATGTGCAGTTATATTATATGCATAATCCATAAAATATTATTTTTATTTATAACTTTTAAATTCATATCTCTTTTTACAGAAGTTATGAAGATAAGTACTTTATATATATATATATATATGTCATAATATGAGCAAAACAAGGAAAACGTCGAAACACTGTAGTTGCGTGATTAGACCCATATTGAAGAAGATTTTGATTGCGTAGTATACTAGTAATGCTAACTTGGTAATATCTAAAGAACTTGGCAGTCGATGCAGTTTTAATTCCATTTTTATTTGCAACTGATATTTGTGGCCACAATCACTTGGCACCCTAGTCGTGCCTTTCCACAGAATATTTTCATTTTTGATATTGTTGAGATAGAAAGCAAGCCAGCGCAATAACATCTTAGCACAGTAGAGAGCAAAAGCTGAAGTGTGTAGTTATGAAAGATGGAAGCACGCAAAGAGAAAAGTTTTGGTTTACAATGACAGTTTCAGTTCTTAATTATTACGTCATCGGAGTTGCGCGGGCCATAGAGCGATCTAGAAATGACGCAATGCAGAGAAGTTATTACGATTTTAGAATAGAGAGGAAGAATTAATGTTTTTAGTTATATTATAATTCTGATTCGTATAATTTTATCTTACATATATATATATACACCAGGTAAAAGAAAATATAAATATTTAATTATATAATTCTTATGCTTCAGCCGGAGAGGACTGAATTTTAATGCAAGTGTTATAAGAAATTTTTAAAAAATGTTTTAAAAATCTTTAGGGCATTACTCTTTCATGTTAATTGGTAAAGAAAGGTTAAAGATGAAAATATTCCAAAGTCACCACACATATATGTATATTCACATAAAAGTGAAACGAAAACACACACACACACATATATATATATACTGCAATTATGCTTTAAATTTCTATTATGTTATAACTTTCAAAATAAATTCTTGTGGGGAAAATTTAAATAAATAAATAAGAATATAAATAAAACATTAGATTTAATGCACATAATAGCAGAAATAAATTACAAAACCCAGAGATAGATCAAATTGGAACACACAGCTAAGAAAGTTGCAGACAGGGTAGAAAAAGAGTGAGTGAGTGCACCGCTATGATGGCTTCCGACCATGGACATGAACTAAACGGAATTATATACCATCACGGCGGGGAAGACTCCAGAGTAACAAGGTTGAATATTATAAACTAATAACAGTTTTTACATATTGTTAACTGCAAGGCACTAAGCGTTATTCTGGTTATCTGCTTTAAGTTCTGAACTTTTGAAACATTATAATATTATCCATGGTTGTTTCTGCTTAGGCAGTGTCCTGAGATTTTTCTCTATTTTATCAAGAGCTATTCTGTTTTTGAGTGTGTTAGTCATCCACATTGCCCAGGCACAGTCCGCTGGTTTCTTCAAGTGCCAGGTTTTTGTATGTACACAATGGAAGTAATAATGGTCCATGTCGCCTTCCTCTCCGCATTCGCAGAAAGGAGTATCCCTAAGTCTGAATCTGTTCAGGTATACTGGGAATGGTCCATGACCTGTCAAGAACTGTGTTAGGCTAGCACAGTGGGTCTTTATTTCCATGTTAACTTTTGGCAGTAAGCGAAATGTCCTTCGTCCTACCTCTGCCCATCTACTTTGCCAATTTTGTAGCAGACTTGTCAAAGTTGTTCGCTTAATATGAGACCAAGGAAGTTTAGTTGGTCTTTCTAATATATCCGTGCAGTTGGCTGCCTGCTTGGCCAGTAGGTCAGCGGCTTCATTGCCTTGAATCCCTGTGTGAGCGGGAACCCATTTTAAAGTGGGTCTTTGCGAAATAGGCATTGTCAGAAAGCTGTTTCTGAATTCTGTATACCAATGGACTCCGGCTGTTTTGGACTTGCGATAGCCGCCAGACTTGATGCCGAATCACTGAGTATGGAGAATTTCTCCTGTTGACATGTGTTCGCATATCTAATTGATAGCTATCTTGAATTCGCAGCACTGATAGCTATATAATTGATCGCATATCTAATTGATGAACTGATAGCTAGAAGCTCTGCTTGGTATACCGAGTTGTTCGAGCCTAATTTCCTTTTCCATTCGAATGTTACAACTCCATTTTCTAGTCTACAGAAGGCACTGCCCGTGCCGTTCTCAGTTTTGGAGCCATCTGTGAAAAGGTTATTACTGTACCTCTGAATTGGTTGGTCGTTTATACTGATACCGTCAGAGAGATTGAAAGCTGCTGGATGAAAGTTATTGCAGTTGTTTTGCTCCTCGTAGTCCGAGTGGTGATAATTATGACCCCAGAGTGTTGAAGTTTGACCCAGCCTGGTAACCCTTACGATAGCTGCCTCTTCATCCCTTTCTACTATCAAATCTAGGGGAGGAATTCCTGCTAGTTGTTGTAGGGCTAGTGTTGACGTGGTACGGTAGGCCCTGCATACTTGAAGTAACTGCTGTCTCTGAATAGAGAGCAGGGATCTTTTCATATGAGAGGTAAGTTCGCCACCCCAGATTGCTGCTCCATAAGTTATTACTCTTTCTGTAATGGTTCTATGCCAAATTTTTAGTAGCTTAGATGAGATACCCCCTTTATGTGAAGTCATGCGTCTCATGTTGTTGCTTAGGATGCTAATTCGAGTCTTAAGATTCCTGACATGTGGCATCCAAGAAAGTCTGTTGTCGAGTAATAGCCCAAGATATTTCAATTGGGAGAAACATTTTACCAGTATCCCATGGAGTTTAATGCTTGGGTTGTGTCTTAGCTGCCTGCTGCGTCCTATGAGCAAAGCTTTAGTTTTCTCTGCCGAAATCTGAAGCTTATGTGCTCTGGCCCATTGGGAGAACAGATCAAGACAGTATTGAGATCTCATTTCGAGGTTACTCCTTCCTGCCACAACTAGCATAAAATCGTCCGCATAGGCTATGATTCGAGCGTATTCTACGCTCTCAAACTGACGAAATGCCGAGTTTGCCACTATATTCCACAGTGTTGGTCCAAGGCATGACCCCTGTGGGCATCCTCTAAAGACATTTTTGACATAAATGCCGCTGTCTGATGTTACTTGTACACTTCAATCTTGAAGGTACGAGCGAAGGATAG